TGGAAATAAAAATTATGTGTGGATCTGACAGCTTTATTCAGTAAATTAGTTTTATTTCGGTGATTTCTAGATTTACTTTGGTGATTTCTAGTTTTATTTATGAGATTAATAGTTTCATTTAGGTGATTTATAGTTTAATTTTAGTGGTTAATTGTTTATTTTTTTGGTGATTTATTGTTTTATTTAAGTTATTTCTACTTATATTTTGGAGATTTCTATTTTTATGCTGGTAAGTTCTAGATTTATTTTGGTGATTTATACTTTTACTTTGGTGACATATTGTTTTATTTTATTGATTTCTAGTTTTATTTTGGTGAATTCTTGTTTTATTTAGGTAATTTCTAGTTTTATTTTGGTGATTTCAAATTTTATTAGGTGATTTATAGTTTTATTTAGGTAATATCTAGTTTAATTTTTCGTGATTTATACTTTTGTTTTAGGGATTTATAGTTTAATTAGGGTTATTTATAGTTCATTTGAATGATTTCTACTTTTATTTTAATGTATTTACCTTTCAATTTAGTGATTTATTTATTGAGGTGATTTCATGTTTTAGTTGCTTTTTTTATAGTTTTACCTGCATACACGACCAAATGTTTCTCAACATCTCCATTGCCTGCTGAAGAGCTACAGATTCATTTTGGGCGTCCATATTGAGCGCCTTCTCTCATCCACATATATTCTCTGTACACACACATATTCTCATTTGGACATGCACACATATTTTCTGGTTTGACATTATAAGAATATTTAGGATAATATATATATATATATATATATATATATATATATATATATATATATATATATGTAAATGTGAGAATAAAGAAAAAATGTGTGTGTGTGTGTGTGTGTGTGTGTGTGTGTATGTGTATGTGTGTGTGTGTGTGTGTGTGTGTGTGTGTGTGTGTGTGTGTGTGTGTGCGCGTGCGCACATGCACAGAATATATGTGTGAGCACAGAAAATATATGTATGCATGTGTGTGTGTCCAATGAATATATGTGTGCGTGCACAGAATGTGTGTGTGTGCAGATAATATATGCATGTGTGTGTGTGTGGGTGTGTGCGAGTCTATGTAGAGAATATGTGCATGTGTGCAGAGAATGTGTGTGTGTAAAGAGAACATGTGTGTGTGCATAGAATATAGGTGTGTGTGCAGAAAATGTGTGTGTGTTGAAAATATAAGTGTGCGTGCAGACATTATAGGTGTGTGCGCGTAGAGAATACATGCGTGTGTGCATTGAATATATGTGTGTATGAGTGTAGAATGTGTGTATGTATGAGAAGAATGTAAGCATGTGTGGGGAGAATAGGGCTGGGCGATATGGCCTCAAATCTATATTGCGATATAATGTGAAGCATGTGCGATAACGATATATATTGCAATATATTTTTTCCTCCGTTTATATATGTCAAAATGACATGCTTTGAAAAATCCTCATTTGGCAAATATATTGCAGCGGAATAAAGATGTCCAAAAAGTGTAGAATGCTCCTCCTCCTCCGCCCGCTCCATGCTTGCAGTCACTGCCATTCTGTTGTCCCAGTGTCAGAGCGGGGGCACATCTTAGTGACGTCATGTGTTATCGCAATATCGCGATAGAGCTAAAAACTCTATCATTACCCAATTTTGTATCGTTTCTACCTTATATCGTTTATATTGCCTGCCCCTAGGGGAGAATATATGTATGTGAGAGTGACAGAATGAATGATGGCTTACACGGCCCCTCATACATATCAGGTTCAATAGTTCACTCCGTCACACAGTCCACTTCTCAATATCTCTGATTAGGAGAGCATGCTCACAAATACCCAGGAACTCATTTCAACACAAAAGTGTTAATGAATTATAGATATTCTCCTCTAACTGTGTTCTGTTCTCAATCTTTGTGTCAGCTAAGAGGACTTGTGTGTGAACGTCTGTTCAGCATTTGCTACTGCAGCGGAGAGTTTCTTTACATCGGTGCACATCTGTGTGTCTCTTTGAGTGGGAGGTGAAAACTAACGCCTGCAAAAACAAAAACGTGATCTCACTCAAATTCTTCTAATTAGTGTGCAACAAATAAATGCACTACAGGCTCTACCTTCAGAAAATATATAATCAAAAGATTTATTTTGAATTACCGGATAAACTAAGAAAAAATATTGAAAGCCAAAGAAAATAGTGTTGCACAGGAAAAGTCTGAGTCAACTGCTAACACATTCGAAACAATCATTCTGTAATTTTAGGCTGAATGTTTTCAGCGTGACTTCTTACCTTTTATCTGGTTCTTGATTAAATATTGTTTGAAGAAGAAGAAAATATCATTTCTATAGCGCCTCTCAAGATAAAAAATCATGAGGTGCTTCACAAAAACAAAAAATGTAAAAATATAAAAAAGAATTTAGAAAATGGTTAAAAATATATTTAAAATGAGCGAAAAATAGGCAATTGTGATTAAAAATGTTAAGAAAGAGAGAGAGACTAGATAAGAGGGAAATCAGTGGATGCTGAGGAAGGTGGAATAGGTGGGGAGAGCAGAATAAAGAGAGTGGTGAAGAAGGTTTGTAAATTGTCTGATTAACTCTTTGATATTCAGATAGCAGAAGTAAAAAAACATTTTTCTTCCATCAAAAGATACTTAAAGACTAAAAAATAGAGCTCAGAAAATGTTGCCAAGATTTCAAACAGCAGTCACTGTCGTCTTACTGGAGGAGAAGTGTCTAATACACACCATCCAGATCTGTTTCTGCAGCCTGAGCGCCCTCAGCTGCAGCACTTTCAGGTACAAAAACAGCCCATACACACGTTGTAAGTTTGTCAAAATACCGTAAATCCTCTAATATTGGCCTGTATTCCATTACCGGCAGGTCTCCTACATTGGACGGTCTCGCTGTCAGCGCCGGTAAATGAAAGCTGGTCTCTAATGATGGCTGGCTTTACGGCACAAACCCAGCCGCAGTTTTGATAACTTTAAAGTACTATTGATCTTAAAAAATTAATAAATAGCGTACTGACCCACTGTTAATGAATTAGAGTCTCACTAAACACAACGGCAAGTCTGATCACGTATAAATAATAGTCTTTTCCCGCTTCCTGTTCTCAAGTCCTTGTGATGTTGTGACTATCGCGCAACTTTCCAAGAGACGTTGAACACTGCTGCTAACCACTTAAACATTTTACTTTCTTTGACATTGAATGAACTAGTACTAGTGGTAGGCAGTAAGGTGTCTGTTACGTTTTGTTGTGAATCAATAACCTAATTATCACCAAGTGTTTACAATGCACTACCGGCATGTTTGCTACGTTTGATACCATACTGGGATTTAGCCTGAAACAACAGTGTTTGTTGTAAATGTTCCTACATAATATGGAAAATCACATCTTATTGATCTTTTAATATATATGTAGTCAATCCTTAACACTACAATATGCATACATACATACAATGCTAACTGTTTATTTATTTATTTATTCTTTATTTAAGCAGGAAGGTCCCATTGAGATTAAAAACCTAATTTTCAAGGGAGTCCTGGCCAAGAGGCAGCAAAAGCTACAGTTACAAATTTTTCTGTTACACAGACATGTTGTGTACAAAATTACAGAAGGCAGTTTCAACACAGGGAATCCGTCTCCAAGAGCGATAGAGAGGGAGAGGGGAGAGAGGGAGATCAAAAAAATAAAAAACCCGACCGGAGCGGAGGTAGTGAGTTAATGCAGCACGTCAGCTCTGTCTTGTCAAATGCACCATGTCAGTTACGAAAAAAGTAACTTTAAATATTCAACTGAAAAAGAGGCGAGCTGAAGAAAACCTAGGGAAAACTGAAGAAACGTGAGAAACAGTGAAGCCATCACAGCGCGATCCGTTACTGTCTGTGTGTGTGCGTGGATGAGCCGGACGGACTGCGCTCCCGGCCGGCTAGAGAGTTTTGTAAGTAGGGAGGGGCGGGCGCTCTATGTGACTGGCCAATCAAAGAGCATGAAGACAGTCAGTTACCCAATGAAGATTTTCCTTCAGCACGATTACAGATATTGGCTCGTTTTACTCGTTTCATGCTCGTATTCGTCAAAAATGCTTTATCCGTACCGGATACTCGTCTGAAACGAGTATCCGGCTCATCCCTATTATTTACTCAAAGCATTTTTTGAAAAGTGCAACAGTGTGTTTTTCCATGGCTTTAATCCTGGCAGTGAAGGGGAACAACATCAAACAGTGATATCAAACACGATCTCTTTCTTCGTCCTCTTTTTGGTTTAATGGTGGATGGCATAAACAAACCGTGACCTTTGAAGTCTCAAGGGATTTTGGGATCTTGCAAGTCTGGCGGAGAAGTCACTCTGTGACTTAGACTCTCCCGGTGTGGACTGGCACGCAGCAAAGCACATAAGAAAAACATATGACAACCGTTCTGCGTCCCTGATGCCTCCAGTGTGAATGAGGCGTAAACCTGAAGGTTTCAAATGGCAAACAAGGAGCTGAAATGACTCATTTAGAAGGTCCGCCTGAAACTTCTGTTCTGTACTGTGGCTTGCTCAATGTTTCTTTCAAAAGTCAATTCAAATAAAAATGTGAACTTTTTAAGGCCAAATGTGTGCCATATTCATTTACTCGATCAGTAACATGACCTCTGGAGTAATCCTGGGAATCGTACCTGTGTTGTAGCACCAAAACAATTGAAATAAATCTCGAGATCAACTCAGTTAATCTTGGGCATGTCATTTTCAACCAGATTTCTCCAAAACAGGTCTAAAGGTTAAACCCTAAGCGCAATCAGTGGCAAACACTTGTTTTGTCCAATCTTGAACCAAAAAAAATCTCACTGCAACTAAAAGTTAAACAGTCACCAAGTTAGTTTGCTACTAGACATGTAAATGTAAAAACTGTGAATACTCAGGACACTGCTAAAACTATTATAATAAAAATAACTATTTCTTATCAGCAACATTTCAAGAATTTCACTTTTAATTAGAAAGGCAGAAAAATGTGAGTTTTCAAAAAAGAATGGCTGAACGATCATACCTTGTGGCCGTAGGGGCTGTAGGAGTGGAAGACTTGTGAGAGCTCTTTAGTCCTTTGCTTCTTCTGCAGAGATAAAAAAAATAAACAAAATATTTTTACACTGCAAGGCTTTACCAATGGATTTTTGTCTCAGTAGTAGAATTTGCTAACTTTAGCACTTCTGGTTCAACCCTTCATTTCAAAATGTTAATTTTTTTTCATGCAGAGTAGTTTTAGGACAGAAAAACCTGCTTTATTCTTGGTCCTGCTGTAATTAAATCCAACTGGAACTTATCTTTATTTCTCCATACTGAAGCCATTCACAGAGCTACCTCTAACAGGTTAGATGTTCATAACGTCTCTACAGAAACCCTCTTCAAAAGATAACAGCATCCATATGAAGTTTTTACTATTTTATTTAAAACATGTAAATTAACTAGTGACGACTGTATTGCAGACACTATTTCTCTTGTTTCACTGGTCCTGGATCCTAAAAGTACACGGTTTGATTTTACTAATGCTCAAACATCTGGCTCCGTGGCATTTCCTCATCCCCCTCTGCTTGCCTCGTAAAAACAAATACATATGGTATTCATGTGGACATGTGGCACTGCTTCGTTTATGAACTTACTGGGTGACTATAGAAGAACAAAAACCATCAACATGGCAGCTGCACTTACAGTATTTGATTAAATGTATGGATTGAACATTGGGAAACAATTTGACTTGTTTTGCAGCGGTGATGGAAAACGCTTCTTTCATCTAAATTTCACAGAAAGTTTGGCCTTAAAGTGCAATGTGGTGTCTGATCTGTGGCAGTTTTTACTGAAATCAACAACATGAGGCTGATTCTGTCACAGAAAGCACTAATTAGTTTGCTGATTAGGCTGTGTCTGGTTAAGAGGTAAAGCGGATGAATGATAGCTAAAGGAAATATGCTCCCTTTTTACAGACAGTGTTCTGTGTCCTCAGGCCAGATCTGTACATACTGAAGATACAACCTCAGCCTCTCTGCTACACAGTCACCATTGCAGCTGGATGGAGACATGCAGCCTAAGGATGGGAGACCATCTGATGCTTGGATCCAGGAGGAGGAACTACTGAATGAAATGTACAATATCTACACAGAGATGGACAAGGTGAACAGAGAGGTAAGTGTGATAAGACAATCGTGTATCTGAGATTAGAAAGATTAATATTTGAAAGGATAAGAGCAAGAAATTAAGTTAAAACATTTCAATCCCTTTATTAAGCTTGATCCTTCTGTGAATTTTTCACAGCCTGTTGCTCAAAATTCTCTTTCCCCCATCTGCCTCTTTTCTTTTTTACTTCCCTGTGGTACTTTTCTAACCATACACAACTCGCTTCCTACTCGCGTGAGGCTCTTCTGATCCACACCATCCTGTAATCATTGGCCCTTCTCTCATTCTTGTTTTTGGATGATTCCTTCTTTCTTCCTCTGCCAGAGGGCCATCAACAATGCTCAAATCATGTCTTCTCTCATTTTTCTCCGACTTTCCACATATTCTTTCAGGGCTTTTTCCAGTGAGAGAAGAAAAAAAAATCCAAAAGAAAACAAAACTCATTTGTTCTCCACTTTCTTAACCATCGTTCTCCATCACAAGTCTGCTCTGTTTTTTTTTTGTTTTGTTTTTTTGCCAGAAGCACCTTAAACGAGAACAATGCTGGTATCACCACTAACTACAAAACAATTCCCCCCTTCTGCTACCTTTCTCATCCCATTCAGCATCATTATGTATCCTGAGATGATCAATGGATAGACCAATGTAAGACTAACTCCAAACTAAAACTGTAGGGTTTATTCAGTTATGTAATGTTTAACCCGCTCACTGTCCTAATGAGTGTGACACCACGAGGAAAGTTGACCATTGAGCAGGGTTGATGGTTTATCCCTTGGGTCCACATGGCAAGGGTGAGGAGTGAGCACCACCTCACCCCTGCCACGTGGACCTCAAGGGATGAACCATCAATCCTGCTCAATGGTCAACTTTACTTGTGGTGTCACCCATAAAGACAGTGGGAGGATTAAAGAAAATGTTCTTCCTTATAGGGAGCCTAAGTCACGCCCATCTACGTACTTCCGGATCATGCCGACCGGAAAGGGAGGAGACTTAGACTCCCTATAAGAAAGATTTTTCATTAACATTTTGGAGCCCAAATCTCTGCTGATTTTTAGATGATTTGTTTTTCTTCAGAATATTCTCTTTTAAACTTTTTGTACTCAGTAAACTTATCAGAATAATCATGATCACTACATGTGTAAAAGACGAGAGAACAAAGCTGTGTTAAAGTAAGCAAAGTAAATGAAGTTGGGGACATTAATGCAATGTTGCTTAGACGCATGTATCATTTATTCTTCCTTAAGGGAGTAAAACCATTTACAGAGTTTTGCATTGTTAGGTTGAAATCTGCCATCATCAACAACATTTATTAGGTGATGAAGCACATTTAAGGCTCATTTCTGGGGTTTGAGCATTCTCATGATGGCTTCTGGGAGCCATAAGTGGTTTTTTTAAGTGGAGGAACTGAAAAATCCACCAGACCTCATTTTTTGACCTACAATGAATAGAACTATGCTTTTATGACAGCCAATATTTGCTTCTACATGAATTGGTGTGTGATGATGGTGCGTGGTGGTGATGGTGGCTCAGGGGTTGAGTTTGCTCTGTGACCAATGGATTGCTGGTTAGAACCCAGTCAGTTGTGTCACCTTCCATGCTTGCTGGTGGTGTTCGGAGGGACTGGTCACACCTTTATACAGCAGCCTCACCTCTGCCAGCGGGCATCACTCTCAAGTGTGTGAATGGATGACTATGTAAAGAGCTTTGGGGTCCTGTGACTTAGAAACAAACAAAATTATCAGGAATTGTAGTAGAAAAGATATCTATTTCTATAATCTATAAAAGAAGGGGATAATATTTAAATAAAATATAACATGTCTACTGCTCCCTATCAAGGTAAATTTCTATTTAAGTGAAAAATAACAAACATTTTATTTCTGCAGATAAACAAAAACTGGCTTTTTTACACGACCTCCTGCATTAAGCTTGTATTTCATTGTCTATTTCATGCTTGTACATTATTTGTACTTTTTAAAGGAAACAGCATTTCTGCACAAAAAGTACAATTTCTAAAAATAAAATGGACTTTTTGAACAGCTACATTTTAGGGAAGAAAAAGACACGTGTGGTGAGAAAACTGGAGAATTTATTATTGGACCGTGTTGGGGCCATGCAAGTGATAATCCAGCTGTAGATAGCTGTTTCTCTTCTTGTCTTTGAACGCGTCACCTTAATGATGATGAACAATGGTTGTTTTCCTGATGTACATCTGTTGTTGTCTCCAGGGACAGATGTAGCAGCCAACACAAAATGGCATTACATGTTTGTAATCACTTGTGTTCAAACACTGATTTGAACAAAACACTGGTGTGGAGAGAGCCTAACACTGTCAAAAAGGGCCTTCATACAAATAACAGAGAAATGTGCACCATGTTGAAAAGGATTCACTCTGTTCGGTATCTTCATGTCTTGTTCACAAGGGATGGACTGATTAACTTAATCCATAATAAGGACATTGTTTTATGTCATGGAGAAAGAGCAGCAGAGGCAAAAGGTTAAACTGACCCCAGAAAAGCTGCAGGAAATGAATAGATGAACAGATGGATAAATACATGAATGGATGGATGACTATACTGTAAAGTAACATTATGCAACCATTTACTGCAGACCTTCAAAATCCAGGTAGGGATAAACTAAAAAGAAGAGAAAGACCTGTGATTTTCCCTGAACACACCAGAGAGACGTACTGTATTATGTTGTGTTGAGTCAGCAGTCTCTAGACAACTGAGGCTTATAGCACTCCGTCCTACACCAAGCATTGTGAATTTTATTTAGTTTCTAGAAAACAAAGTCTGGTATTTTCAGTAGGGAAAACCGTCTTATTGTTACTTCTTCTGCAAAAGAAAATGAAAATTAAAAAAAAAAAAAACGAGAAGGGAACTCCCAGAATGATCATAATGGAGAATAAGAGGAAGAAGAAGGAAAAGAGAAAACAAAAGCATCATTTAGCAAGTGAACAAAATTCTCTGATGCCTTTCTAATCTGTGCTTTGCAAATGAGAAAAGCTCTGGCTTATTTTCTTGTTTATATCCATTGACAGATGTGTGTGCAGGTATTTATTGATTTATGTAGAAAAATAATTCATGCTCATATGATCAGTTTGAGATTGTGATAGAAATCTCCCTGTAGACCGATCACTTTGATGCTGCAAGAACAACTTATGATCACTACAACACAATGTGTTACCTTTCCCACCATTAGTTGACCAGGTGCTCAATAATCAAGCAGAGGTTCATGAAGCCCAAGGCAACAACTTAACCAATAAGTCAGCCCTAATTGTCATGAGCCGGGGTGAGTACTCTTCCCATTCTCAACATCTCTGTGTTTTGTTTGCAGGAGAGGGAGCGGCAGCTGCACCTTGTCAGCTAATCAGCGGGCCAGCTTCATAAGGAGGATGGTGAACACCACTCGATGCCGGATGATTGCTACTGACTGGTAGTTTCCAGCCCTTGTACTTGTCTCCAGGTTTTTCTAGTGCTATATTGTGAATATTTGGACTTTGTGTAATTTTTGGATGTTTTTGGCTCACCTACCTCAGGTCTTCCAACGCCTCAGGATCCTTCAACCAGACTCCATAGGACTCAGCACCGGCTCCCCTTCTACGTTCATCCATCCACCTGTCCTGACCGACCTGCTCGCCATCGACTCCTCACTCCCTCTCCAGCTCCAAACGCCCCTCTTGGATTACACCCCGGCTCACTACCTCCCCTCACTCCCCTAGAACCTTCTCCCTCCGTATGTCACCACTCAGCATTCCCTGTTGGACTCAATCTCCCAGGACTCACCTCTGGGTTGCTCTCCCCCTCTAGACGCTGCCTTTCCATTCCTCATCTGCTGGATTTTCCAGTGCGCCTTTAGTTATGGTTCATCCAACAATAAAATATTATTTCTTTTTCCTCATCGATCTGTGTACAGTCTGATTCTGCATGTCTTGGGTTAGAC